GTGCCTTGGAAAGAGCAGCTCCAGTCTAGTGAAGGTGAAGACGACTTGCGTTCACCCACTGTACGCGATAGTCCACAATAATGGGTGCGGACTACATTGAGTAACTCAGCCATGCTTGAACGGACTGCAGCGAAATGTCGCCTCCCGGGTTATACTTCAAGTTTGATTCTAAACACCTCAGCGACAAGGTAGCTTCCCGGCTTGTATTTCAATTTTCATTCTACCTGCATCAACCTCCTAGTCATCGGCAAACACTATCTTTGTCCCCACGAACAGCGAGCATGGCTGCGTTGTATCCATCCAGTCATCCCTCTTATTCTTCTTCTTCGTCAGTCGCCGCCATTTCTCAATATCGTATCTTGCCATCGGACAGACTGGATCTCTGTCGTGATGTCTTTCCTCACACTTCCAACACTTCGGGGGTCGCCTAGCATGCTTGCCCGGCCCCTTCACTTTGACCACTTTCCCCCTTGTTCGTCTCGGAACGTCAACCGTTTCCTGGTTAGGCGCTTTGTGCAGTTTCAGCGGCGCCGAGAACTGCCACTTGAGTGACTTCTCCAAATCTTTCTTCCATAGCTTTCCCACATACTCCATATCCGTGTGTAAGAAATGCGACACGCAACAGAAGTCAGCAATGCGCCGATGTAGCATCGTGATGCAGTCACTTTCAAACTGCGACATGGGTATACCCATTGCTGTCTCTCGTCGTTGTTTCAGCTTTTGCGCCTTCTCTTTTGTCAGAGCTGCCGCCAGAGCTCCCTTGTTCTCTGTGTACTCAACCATGCGTCTTAGCTCCGTCATACCGAACGCTTCGTAGATGATCTGTTGGCGAATCTCGGAAGGCAGGCCGAGAAGACTGGCTTTTGGATAAGAATGCCGAAATCGGCCTGTCGGAGCCATGATCCAGGGATAGATCCATAGTCTTACAGCGCGTTCGCGTGCGATCTGTTCCCTTGCTCCTTTCCGCAGGGTCCGACATTCGATTGTGTTGGCGATGTTATATCCTTTCTGGTTAAGCTCGCGTCGACGTTTGAGCCTTGCTTTTTCGCGCACGTTTTTTCTTCTCGACATAGTGTAACAGTCTGTCTACGATGTGAGACTGGTCGCCCGAGGTAGTCGTAGATGGTGCGCGCCTTGTATTTCGGCGGCAAAGCGAGACGACTTCCGAAGGGATTCTTGTCAGGCCAAAAGCTGCGAGGGTGTTGTGAAGTTGGACTCTGTGGTATCGATTCGTAATCATCAAACGGTCCCTGGATGCAGGTGCGTGGACCCTGTGCTAACCGCAGGCGGTAGCGAGGCTCGACCCTTGCGCTATGCGTCACAGTGACTCACAAGCATGTCAACAAAGATAAGTTATTAAAGATGTCTTATTCTCCATTTGTCACTTATCGGAGGTGAGACCCTAGTGACAACAAAGGGTACCGAGCGGGGTACCCGAAGCCTACGCGACATGTCTCCCCACGTCTAACAAGTTCCCATCATCAGGCCCAGTGAACTTCTTCCTTCCCGTCATAATCCAAAAGATCAAGCTGATGAACATAACCACTCCTGTCGCCGCAGAAGTGTAGTTCATGTTCTCGCTCGTCACGGGCGTGACACTAGGTAGGTTGGATACGACACAGATGAATCCCAGATACAGAAACCCGATAATGTTGAGAACAATGCCCCAGCGACCGAGTGAGTACGGGCCTTCCAATCGAGTCTTCTTGCCGGAGAAGTGGGCGAGAATGCGGGACAGTAGAGGCATTAGATACGAAAGGTAGAAACCTTGTGTAGCGATGGCGATGATGGTATTGAAGCCAGTTGTTGTGCCAAAGTAGATGGAGTTGAAAGCCATTTGTACGACGGCTGTCAACATAATAGCGTATACCGGCACCGATCTTGTCGAAATCTTGCTTAGTACGTGCGAGAAAGGAAGCCCGTTGTCTCTTGCAAACGCGTATACAGCTCTTGATCCCTCTGCCATGAGCGAGTTGGCGCATACTGTGGCAATGATAGCGATCATAGATGCTAATGTAGATGTTCCGGCCACACTGTTCGTGCTATTGAATATGATGGCAATGACAGGTACTCCTGTCGCGGTAGCACCCGTCTCCTCGAGATCGCCAATGCAAAAGCACAATGCGACTAGCCAGACGAATCCGGTGAAAAAGCCAATGTAAACCGACATGACTATCGCGCGGGGAGCTTGTTTCCGGGCATTCTTGATCTCTTCGGTCATGTGTGAAGGTGCGTCATAACAGCACATTCCGAACGCTGATTGAAGTAGCCCCAGGCATGTAGCATATGGCGCGTTCCATCCGGTGAAATTCTCGAAGTCGCTGAATACGTAGCTCGCCGATTGCTTGTGATCGTTGGTGACCAGAATGGAGATGAGACAGACGACAAAGGAAGTGAGATTCCAGATGAAGATCGCTTTCGAAAGCTTGTTAAGGATGTGTGGCAGGTAGATGTTAGATGCCGCTGCGATGAATGTGATGAGATAGGCGATGAGTACTGTGTGCCATCGCTCTATCGTGAAGCCATAATTGAGCTGGGCGGTACCGAGAATGAAGTTCGTAGCGACGAAGTTGTTGACTGCGCCCATGCATATGATTCCAATCAGCATGAACCTGTTCATGTTAGGAAGTTACTGAGAAGTCATCTTGAGAATACACACCATCCACAGAGATAACTCATCGAGCGAGCCCAGCGTGTCGGTGCCAGGATAGCCACCCAAGAGTACTGCCCACCTGCAACAGGGTACCTTAGAGACGGTCAGCTCAGCCATATAGTCAGGCACAGGTGTACATACGCGCTACACATCTCAGCCATTGAGTACGCAACAGCAAGTGTCACAAGGCAGACACACAGCCAGCCCCAAATCATGACTGGCGGCCCACCCGATTCAACACCAATGATAAGTACACCGGAGAGTGCGGTCCATGAAGTCACAATACTGAACGAGAAGCCGACCATCCCAAGTAGACCAAAGCTGCGCTTGAGCTCTGTGAACGCAATCAGTACACGTTCGCAAGTATGACTTTGTGAACTTACCTTGGGTATATCCCAGCTGCGCCAGCACATCATCGTCGCTGTTGGCCTCCTCCACGATCTTCTTCTCTTCTGGGCTGTGCGCCATCTCTACCATCTTGATTATCACAGAACCGACAGAAAGAAGGTCAAGAGACTGTGAACATGCGAACAGCCTGGAAGCGATTGTTCAAGTGTTACCTAACCGCATACATATACCTGTCCGGGTATCGCGCAAAGCCGTTTCTCGCAGCCATTGAACGACAGGGCGCCGTCAACGGCCGAACCTTGCGTCATCCAGATAACGAGCATCTGCCCCAGGTTGTGCTTCCATTTCGGGAAGCCGCCAAGCATCTCGTACATGTCTTATCGCGCATCAAGCGTGTGGAGTGGATTGGTCGAGATAGGGAGCGGAAGCGGCATGAGGAGCAACCGGGGTGCTGGTAGAAGTGGGGTACGGTAGACGAGATGAGTTGCCTGCTATGCGGTATGTATGCGGCTGAGAACATCCATCGGTCGGTTGCCGTCGAGTTTAATTCTTCGCTATCGGATTGCAAACATGTGTACAAAGGAAGTATTGCGAAGATGTCGTGGTGTGAGGATTGAAGCAGGTGCGGAAGGAGTGGAGATGCACAGGTACCTGCCGATCCCGATAACCGGCTATCACAACCCGACGCGATAGGATCACTCAAGACAATACAAGAAATACACGAACGTAACAGACTGCCGCGCGGAGATGCAATGCTAAGTAACTTTGACGACGTGATGTATGCACAAATGAACCACGACGCGCACACTATCGCAACATCTTACGGTACTCATCGTACCTAGATAGTGCGTCGCCTCATCACAGCATCAATTGTTACTGCTTCACGTACAGTAGCATCCATCTACAACTCTCCCAAATACCAACCCCCCGTCTCGATTCAACCTCACCGCCCAGAAAATGACATCTCAAATCCCCACGACAACACCGTATGCCTGGCCACATAACTCATCCCTACATCCCACCACAACCGCCCTCGTCATCATAGACATGCAACGCGACTTCCTCTCCCCGGGTGGCTACCTCTCCTCGCAAGGCTACTCTCTATCACGTTTCGAGTCACTGATTCCCCGCATCGCATCCTTACTGTCCACGTTCCGCCGCGCAGGCTTCCCCGTCGTACACACACGGGAAGGTCACGATTCCTCACTCGCAACAGTGAGCAGTCGAGAAGCACATCGGAGTCGGGTCAACGGCGCAGAAATAGGGAGCCAGGGTCCGTTAGGCCGTCTTCTGATTCGCGGTGAAGAAGGGCATGAGATTATTGAAGAGTTGAGGCCGGCGAAGGGAGAGCTGGTTATTGATAAGCCCGGACGAGGGGCGTTTGCGCATACAGAGCTTGATATGATGTTGAGAGCGAAGGGGGTGAAGAATTTGGTGGTTTGTGGGGTCACGGCGGATGCGTGTGTGAGTAGTACGGTGCGAGAGGCAAGTGATAGGGGGTTTGATATGCTGGTTGTGGAGGATGGCGTGGAGAGTGTTAGTGAAGAGTTGAAGAATTGGAGCTTAGAGAGCGTTAGGGTTGAGGGAGGGTTGTTTGGGGTGACGGGATGCTGTAAAGAGGTGGAGGAGGCGGTGGGGAGCTGGATCCAGAAAGGGAATGACAGTTGAACTGGGTAGACTGCACTGAACGACCTACTTGGACAGCGTACAGAAAAGTCCATACAGCATGTGCTGCCTTTACTTTACCTCAAGAAAATTGTGCCGCGCGTATCAGCACCGCCTTGGGGTACCTTTACCTTCCTCTGCGCTAGTCTGTAAATCAGCTCTTGCTCAATCGGCGTAATATATACACCACGCTCATATCTACATCCTCACAACAACATTGCGTCAGAATCCCAACAGGTACACTCACGACACACTCAGGTATTCCCTCCCCACCTCAGTGCCCACTTCAGCTCTTCAACACTGACGAATCTCAGCTACAGCGCACCCACCCAACATGGCCTTCATCCCCTCCGAGCATGCCTTTCCCAAAAGAGTCAACGCAGTGGAACGCTCCGTCGACACCTCCGCCGCCGAGACCACCTTCTGGGAAGACATCCGAGACGACCTACAGCCCTGCACCCACTTCAACCTCAACCGAGACCTTTCTGTACGCGAAGGTTTCGGCTACGAAGTACGCCGATATTACAAGAGTCCATCTGGAGATGTCGAGATGTTCCCCGGTACCCAGGGCGTGATTGTGGGAGTGCCTCCGCGGGATTATGGTCATGCTAGAGGCTATGCAAAGGTCCATGTTCCTGAACTCGATCAGGTCAAGGTAGTGCCGACGGTTATTCTTCGAACTGGCAATGTTCACATTGAGAATCGCAAGTTGTACAACGAGATCGTTAGCCGCCAAGGTATACTTGCTCCCAAGAGTGGACAGACATTTGAACAGCTTGACGCAGTGACTCAAGCATACCTTTCGGCTCTGGATGCGCTCAAGGTGGAACAGTGTTAGTGGGGTTGACGAGACGGCGGCCGAAGGATGCTAAGGTTCAAGAAAACTCTTCCTGGGCCAGATGCTCTGGAGAAAAGCAGGCGATTAGCTGTGCTCGAGGCAAGGGTTGCACGGCATGAGTCAACGTCACGAGACAAAACAATTGGACAGCAAGGTGCATGAATATGTATGCATTGACTGAACTAGCCAAATGAAGATCGAAGCTTCATATTGATCATTTCCAAACCACCCATGAACATAACGCCGTGAAGACCGATAGCCGTGACCAGATCATTTCCATAAACAATGTGTGACCATGCGGACAGTCCCCAACCAAGAGGCCGCAAGGGCCGTCGATGCCGGGCGCCGATGTGTCGTGACGAGAAGAGGAGATGTTTAACCACCGAAACCGTAGAGGGTACGGCCCTGGCGCTTGAGGGCGTAGACAACGTCGAGGGAGGTGACGGTCTTGCGCTTGGCGTGCTCGGTGTAGGTGACGGCGTCACGGATAACGCTCTCGAGGAAAGTCTTGAGGACACCACGGGTCTCTTCGTAGATCACTGCGGCCATGTTAGGACTTGTCTGGCATGGAGACGAGGTTGGGAATGCTTACTGGCTGAGATACGCTTGACACCACCACGGCGAGCGAGACGGCGGATAGCGGGCTTGGTGATACCCTGGATGTTGTCACGAAGAATCTTGCGGTGACGCTTGGCGCCACCCTTTCCAAGACCCTTGCCACCTTTGCCGCCTGCATAGGTGTGTTAGCATGTTGTCTTATGGTAATGATGGATGCCGCCACGGCATGGTGGTTGTGTATGAGTGTCGTGATGCGCGGTACATTAGTGGGGCGACGCGTTGAGCCTCAATACCAAGCGCGCCTCACCGCCATGTGCAGCAGCGGCAACAGCGACCACAACGTCGATGCGCGGGTAATGGAAGAGGAATACAGATGTACTTACGTCCAGTCATGTTGTTGGAAGGTTAGTGGAGATGAAGGTGATGGGTATTGGTATATTACGCGCGTTGGTGCAGCGTAAATGGCGTGGATGAAGATGAAAGCTGGGGGTTGCGAAAAGAGAAGAAAGAAAAGACTCCAAAGACGCGGGTGGGCCGGTTATATAGACGAGGGAGGCGGGCGCGGGTGCCTCCAGATCACACCTGCACAGAGTGGCGCTAGGCCCGGTCGGGGCGAGTCAGAACATGAAATCAAAGGCCTTGCGCCTTCACATCTGGGGGAAAATCAAAAGCGTGGAAAGCAGCACTTCCAATTCCCACCCAAGCTTGCAGGCGCGCCGGGCTGCTGCTGATGCAGGTGTCGGCGAAATGGCCCGTGCGGGAACTTCAATCGCGGCCTGCCGACGCGACTGGAACACCAACGTCGGGTTGTGATAATCGCCCTGCATGCGGCTACAGCGTGCTGCACCCTCTCAAAACATATTGGAAGACGAACGAATATACAAAGAACCTCTTGCAATATCGAACAATGTTTTGCGCGTCTTGTATCAAATACGGCACGCCTTCTTCACCCCTCCACGACGCGTTCACGCTGTGCACACACTACACCAACCACCGCAACAAGCAACTAGCAAAGACGCGTTCAATTCCTGAGAAGATTCTTTTCATTACTCTGTCTGCTCTTGTCTCTCAAATTCTATATATCATGTTTCTCGTCCACGTTCCAGAAACGTCGACTCGAAGCTTTCACCGCCATGTCACAGACTCTTCAACACTTTCAACACATTGATACTTCATTGAACCAAGACTTGGCTTATATCATACCCTTACTTGCTGCTTTCTGAGAAGAAGCACACGGAAATATGGCAACATATCGGTCGCAACCTATCGTTGAGTGGTCATGTCCCACTCTTTAGATATACTTGCTGGTTGCTCATGCGCATGCCTTCCAATGCGAACGTATGAGTCACGTATTCAGCATTGCTGTCTAGAATAGCTTTGCCCGGCTGCCCCCTAAAGTCATTATCATAAACCATTCCAGGATGAGTCGTGTGGCACAAGACGTGTCTGTGCATGCCGGGCCACTGCACCCTAGGCCTCTATACTGGCCGCTCATCCGCATGGAGAGGGGTGCCATTATGGAGCAACAATAAGGTCGTTAGACGTAAATAAAACAAGACTTGCACTTCAAAGTAATGTATCAATACTGTCACTATGAACAAAAAGGATTCATTGCGAGAGCTAGCTAATCAACACGGACTATAAACGAGGGGCATGCTACAAACTATCCATCTAACCAGAAGCGTGACATGACCATATCCACTCGCCACTTGTACCGTCCTCCAGGCCTAGAGTAAGCTTTACTTTGTCTCATCCGTCTTCTTGACAGCAGCCTCCTCATTGGCAGCCTCCTCGTAGACAGGGGGAGCATCGTATGCTGGAAGCTCGGCGTACTCCTCCTTCTCTCCACGCTCCTCTGCCTCTTCCACATCCTCCTCATCCAGAGCAATCGGCTGGTAGCGCTGGCCACGGACCTTGGCAACGGTAATAGCGATGAGACATCCGAGAGCCATGCCGACGAGGTATGTAAGTGTACCAGCGAAGATACCGATGAGGATAGGGACGAAGATGGTGAAGAAGGCGCGACGAACCATCTTGGCGAAGTCGTGGTGGCGGTGTTGGCCCATGTGGTGAGGGTGGTGGTGCGGGTGAGCCTTGCCAGGGCGGAAGCGGTGCGGGGGCTTTCCAGCCATGCCCTCATGCTCCATGGGGTTGTTGGGACGGGCACCGGCGTGAGGTCGCTTGTGGCAGCCGGGCCTAGGCTTGCGCATGTCCTTGATCTGCTCGATGCGGTCGGCCATGATGTTCTTCCACTTGCAGTAAAGCGGCCACTCGTTGCACTCCTTGTCTGATGGTGTGGCCGGGCTACGCTCAGCCTCGTTGAAGGATGCGATCATAAGGCGACCCTCCGAGTTTTTCAGGACGTTGATCTGGAGCGCAGGAGGGTTGACAGCGGTGCCTTCGACCGAGGTGATTTGGAAGGTCATCGGAAGAAGCTCGGTGCCCTCCTCTGAGATAGTCTCTGCGCCGTCGTAGCGGAACTCATAGCCGGTGATTTGCAGACGTAGACCCTCTTTTGTAGATGGGTCCACCTGTGTGAGAGTGTAAGGCTGGGGCGGGAAGCCGAACGATGGCGGATATAGTTGGGCGTTGTCGAGGTTCAAAGCGTCGCCGTGAGGTCCGACGTCAAAGTCCAGGCGCTGTTGGTCGTTAGCATACGAGGCTGTGAGGCATATAGCCGACTACGTACGAAGGCACTCCCAACGTCAGACTTCCACTTGAGCTCTTTTCCATCCAAGGTCGCAACGGCGCATCCAGGGCACTCCAGCGCAACAGATCGCGAGCTGGGGTTGATGGCGAGAGATTCGAAAGCGTGGTCGTCTCCGAGGTCTTCCACGTTCGTCATGGTCGAAGGGATGAGCACGGCGCTGGCGGCCAGCGCCAAATGGGCGAAAACACCCAACTTGCTAGGAGACATCGTGGGTTGTGTTCAGGAAATTGCAAAGGTTGAAAGGCGAAGAGGTGTTGCAGAACAAAAGTATCAGGAGGACGAGGGAGGCGGTGCCTCAGCCGTGCATTACGATTGCCGCCGCGTCATCTGTCACGTGAAGCGCCGGACCCTGAAGTTTAGCTGTCAACATGTCGCACGCGTGAAACATTCGCCGAACCAAGCAAAGCAACCAGTGAACCTAGCGACAAGGCAAAGTATACTTCAGGCTTCTGAATGTTAATGTAACATCCTACTGCGCGATGTGTCGGTGGCTTCTGGTATGCCCGGGTGACTGCTTCCTGGGCGCTTACCGGAGCTTCCCCGACGGTCGTTCGTCTGATATCGTCGGAGACCAACGCACAGACCCGGCTTTCGTCTGTAGTTTCTAGCCACTCCTTCAGTCTGTCAATTCAGTATAGATGGGCTTGAGACTCGCAGCGATGCGCGTAAGCGCTGCCAACGTGAGCCCCTCAGCTGAGCTCACTAGGCAGCATCAGCCTAGCTCAATCATCGCAACCTCATAAGACAACACGTCACCTCGTTGTCAGTCCCATCTTTAAACTTACAGTACCGGAAAACACCATGCGACTTATTGACGCTACCACACTTGAGCTGCGGCTCTTCATGGACGAGTCCAAGATACCGCCGTATGCCATTCTATCACACACGTGGGGCGAGAACGAAGTCACTCTGCAGCAGTTTACAGACAAGTCACTGTGGGACAATGCCACCTTTAAAAGCAGCCGTGGCTACTGGAAGATTCTGAAAGCCTGTCAGCAAGCCCTGAGCGATGGTTTATCGCTAGTGTGGGTGGATACCTGCTGCATCGACAAGAACTCTTCTGCAGAGCTGAGCGAAGCCATCAACAGCATGTTCCGGTGGTATGAACAAGCGGCGGAGTGTTACGCATATCTCGCTGATATCAATGTGGGCTCCGAAGCCTGGACTGACAGCCTCATGTCCAATGACGACAAAGGACAGCTAGCCAGGTCGCGATGGTTTACTCGAGGATGGACCTTACAAGAATTACTAGCTCCAAAGGAGATACGGTTCTACGGAACAGAATGGAGATATTTTGGCAAGAAGAGCTCTTTGTGTGTGGAAATGGGGCGCATCACTGGTATCAACGCAGACGTGCTTTCAGGTAAAAGCGACATGAGAGACGAGAGTATCGCAAAGCGAATGAGCTGGATGGCCGGGCGCAACACGACACGAATAGAAGACATGGCATATTCCCTGCTGGGCATCTTCGACATCAACATGACGCAAATGTATGGTGAAGGGAAAAAGGCCTTTGTTCGGCTCCAGGAAGACATCATGAGATTTTCCGCAGATCAAAGCCTATTCGCATGGGAAGAACCCCTTCCACACTCTCCTGGGACGCCCACCTCGGTGTTTGCGAGTCACCCAAGGCAATTCGCCGCTTCAAAAGGGATACTCAACCGCAGATTCGACGACGAATTCAGGCTACCAGAGGACTATTTGTGTACAAACCGCGGCGTCAAGATCAAGC